AGCAGCAACATGAAACAGATCAGCAGCGACATGAAACAGATCAGCAGTGACATGAAACAGATCAGCAGCAACATGAAACAGATCAGCAGCAACATGATGCCATTTTTCACAGTGATTTTCTAGTTAGATATTCATGAGTCTAACAGCATCAGGGTAGAAGCTGTTCCTCAGTCTGGTGGTTCTACATTTAATGCTCCTTAACCTCCTTCCTGAGGGGAGTGGGGCAAAAAGTGTGTGCTAGGTGAGTGGGGTCCTTCATGATGCAGGTGGCCCTCTTCCTGCACCTGGAGGTGTAAATGTCTGTGATGGTGGGGAGACTGACTCCAACATCTTCTGTGCAGCCTTCACCACTCTCTGCAAAGCTTTTCTTCAAGCTGTGCAGCCTCCATGACACACCTTGATGCTGGAGCACATGAAGCTCTCCACTTCACACCTGTATACGAGTGATGGGAGGAAGAAGGGTGACACTTGCTCCTCACTTTACTAGATTTATTTTTTTGTACTCGCAGGGCACCAGCTGCTCAGTTTACTGATCAGCAACAACTTAATGTATTCATCCTTTAATAATCAAAACGATCACTGAAGTAGAATCTGTCAATTAGAGGGAATTATATAACAAATGAATATTCATCCAAAAGAGGGGTCTAAATTTGTCTTTGAAGTTTTATTACAAAAAATAATCAAAGTAAGAATCATCAACAACAATAAACAAATTGAACAACACAGAATATAAACAATAATAATTTGGAGAATAACTTCTTTGAAAAGCAGTAAAGTAATTACTAAAAAGATAATCAACAATCTAAACAATAATTAATCAGTCAAGGATTAATTATGTTTTATCTAAGACTAAATTAATTGTTTGAGGAGAATTATTTTGGCTTTTATAAACACAAATTTAGACAAAGTTTAACTATTTGATAAATAGTTTCCTTTGGATTTTAGTTGACAGATGTTACTTAACGTGAACAGATTAAATCATCCAACACTGCAAGGCAGGAAATGATTTATCAAGTTTCATCAGCACAACAAACCCAAAGTTGCATTAATGCCACCAGGTTTCAGCTCCTTACCAAGTCAGTGTTGACGGCTTGAATTCTCTCAGCTGATGAGAAGGTGTGCGGGCTATCGCCAATTATCAGCCGGCTACATTTTAAGCTGAAAATCTGTCTTTCAGTGAGAAAAACAATGTTTTATCTTTTTGTTGTTACTGGGGCTCTACTTTGCTTCTAACAAAAGCAGAAAAAATAGTTTTTGTTTTTTTTGCTCAGGAATAAACGTATGATCAGACATCAAGTAAATATTAAACAACTCAGTAACTAAATAATAAATTAATAAAAACATAAACAATAAAATAAATATTTATACAAATAAATATTTTTGTTTACTCCTGTGTGTGGTTGAACACACACGATTTAACATAAATATTTATTTAAAGTTATGTCAGGAGGAGAAAATCAGCTGCGTCTCTGTAGAGCTCGATCACAGGTGGAGAAGCTGAAGCTGCAATGACGTCAGAAGGAAAGGTGGTTTGGACAGATCATGTGATATGTGAGCGTAACCTGGAAGGTCCGACAAACACTCTTCAGAATGTGGAGCTTGATTCTGAGAGCTCAACTCCTAGAGTGCGGGGTCTGAGTTTGTGGGTCAAAAATACAGGCGTGGGTCATTCACATAGAGGCAGGAAAAGCAAAACTTATCCGAAGGGTTTAGCTGGAATTGGTGGTCTGAAGGCAGAGCAGACATCAAGGTCCAGATATCCAATGAGCAGAATGGGATTTACCTGTCTAAATGAAGGTTGAATGAATGAATGCAAAAGAAGAATCTGTCTTGGACAAGGCAAAGGAGAGGACTCCATGGATGAAGTGGTTTAGGAACAATGCTGGATACTTCAGGCACGAGGGGGTCTGACAATTTGGCAGGGAGGCAGACACTGGGGGGTGCTTAAGAAGTGCAGCGCGCACACAAAAATAAAAAAATAAAATAAAAAAGTGCAGCGCACAGGTGCAGCAGGAGGGAGATTGGGGGCAGACTGGCCATTAGGAGCACCTGGACATTTCCCGGTGGCCTGGTCCGCTCAATGTTCCCGAGAGGGACTAAAGGTTTCGGTCATGTTTGATTATTCTAAATAAACAATCCATGCCACACAAGCATATATATATATATATGTATATATATACATACATATACATACATATATATATATATATATATATATATATATATATATATATATATAGTAGGCAGCACGGTGGCGAAACTGGTAGAGCTGCTCCCTCTCAGCGAGCAGGTCCCTGGTTCAAACCCCGGTCCAGGGGCTTTTCTGGGTGGAGTTTGCATGTTCTCTCCGTGCATGCGTGGGTTTTCTCCGGGTACTCCAGTTTCCTCCCACAGTCCAAAAACATGCATGTTAGACTGATTGGTAACTCTAAATTGTCCCTAGGTGTGAGTAAGAGAGTGAATGGTTGTTTGTCTCGTTTGTCTCTATGTGTCCCTGTGATGGACTTGCGACCCGTCCAGGGTGTACCCCGCCCCTCGCACAGTGATTGCTGGACATGGGCACCAGCAACCCCCGTGACCCAAAATGGAATAAGCGGGCAAAGAAAATGGATGGATGGATATATATATATATATATATATATATATATATATATATATATGTATATATATTTATATATATATATATATATATATAATAAAATAAACTACTATGTACTACTTGTACTACTATTCCTACTTTGTGGTTTTTCACTTATTGCGGGTCTTCAGGGTATGGATCCCCCACGATAAATGGACTACTGTATACGTATATAAATACTAAAATAAATACAAAGTATAACGTCACTACTTCATGGATTTTCCCCTATCGTGGGTTGTCTGGAACGTAAACTCCATGATAAGTGAGGGACTACTGTACATTTTTTCTTGACTAGATTACATTCACCGCTTCCTCTTTCTGTGTAAATCTTGTGATTTGCATGCTTGACTCTAAATGTGATTGGTCCTCTCTTTTGTTTTCTTTACCTAGGTGCTGTCTCTAGGTGCAGATGTGTTGCCAGAGTACAAACTCCAAGCTCCCCGCATTCACAAGTGGACAGTTTTGCATTACAGCCCCTTCAAGGCAGTGTGGGACTGGCTCATTCTGTTGCTGGTCATATACACTGCTATCTTGACACCCTATTCAGCTGCATTCCTTCTAAATGACCAGGTAGGTTCTCATTTAAAAGATAAAATCCTACTATTGTCTCGTAGATATATTTTATCGTGAAATAAAATAAATTACAGCTCTACTAACATTATTGCACCATAGTAACTATGAAGAGCAGGACAGCTTTGAATTAATTGTTCAGATTTGTCCTGCAAATGTTAATCATTTAGTTATAAAATAAAAAACAGTTTTGCCTAAACAAGGTGACATTATATCAGCTCGGTGGAGGCCCATGCTAACAAGGACCAACACCAGTGCCAATAACAAACAGGTGCTGGCTGAAATTTTGCTAGTGTTAGTTAAATAAAGTAATAGCACTAGAGGTGATTAGGATAACACAGTGTTATTCTGAGACCTCGAGGAAGAAAACCTTTCAGGAGAAATAAGGAAAAGAGAAAAATCAAGAGTGTCAGACTGAAGCAAATCTAAACGTAAGGATAATGACAGGCAAAAGCACAGAGCTTATTTACATGATGCAGAAAAAGAGGTAAATGTATTATGTGTGAGATAGACTAAGGGGAAGATCAGCAAGGCTTGCAGCTGTGGGGCAGGGTTCAAGCTGTTTCAATATAGTGTAGAGATAGAAGGAGAAATAAGGTAGGGATGTCTAGAACAGGGATGCCCACACTTTTTCAGCATGCAAGCTACTTTTAAAATAACCAAGTCAAAGTGGTCTACCTACAATAAAAATACAGAACATATACTTGTTCATGAACATATTAAGTATTCTTTATTTTTACAATATATGTTGATGTACCAACTGCATGAGCCTATATTGCGCAATACAACTGTACATTTTTTATCATTACCTTACTCTGATGACTTGCACAGAATGGAATAAGCCAGGGATGCAAAGCTGCTGGTAGTCAGCCTCAAGTACACTTCCAAATGATCATTAGTCGTGGTGGACTGGTCATTCCAGAAAAGTTTAGGTCAAACAGTGTTTCAGTCTTTGAAGTGAAGCGCCAGTGGAGCAAATTTAGTATCTTCCTGAAAAGGGCAGCACATGAATGTAGTGACTGGCTCCAGTAAAACAAGTCTTGAAAGCATTTGTCAAACTTTGCCAGACAGTTCTCATTCTGCTCTGTGTAGCGTGTATCGTCAAGTTGTACAAACTCTTTCCCTTGTGTCTACAGCTCTGATGCAAGGTTCATGGAAGTTTGCCAAATCATGGTGCTGCAGCTTTAAGGAGAGATGTTGCACTGAGCTGATCGTATCAGGTTTTGTTATTTCCTTGCAGCTCTACATTAAGGACATTCAACATGTTGGGCATATTGGTTAAAAATGCTAAATTGGAGGGTAACTAGGCAAGTAGGTAGCTTGCTAGGTTTTTTTTTTTTTGCACAGTTGTATGTACATGCATGGTGACCCATGTGTCAGAAAAGGTCAGGTCTCAGATTGGCTGCCCTGTACGTCAATCAAGTGACAAATTTCATAGTGAGGATGCTTGATAGGCTGATATACTGTATTTTTTTTATGCTAAGCAATCTACTCGTATTACCTTTGCGATCGACTGGTAGATCGCAATCGACATATTGGGCACCCCTGGTCTAGAAGGAGGGGTTTGCGATGAATGTAGTGGAAGTAAAAAAGGGTGTCAGATAGGTTGAGATGTCTGATGGTATAAAGTCGTATGTTGAATGCTGTCAGTGACTATGGTTCAACAAGCTGGATGTGAGGTAAAGGGAAAAATAAATTCTGGAAGAATTTAGACAAAATTATAGAAAGTTTTTTTCCAAGAAGGAGATAGTGGTGATCAAAGCAGACCTGAATGGACATGTTGGTGAAGGAAACAGAAGAGATGCAGAATCGATGGGCAGGTTTGGGGTGAAGCAAAAGAATCACAAAAGTGAGATGGTGGATTTTTCTAGGAGGATAGAGATTGCTACATAGGTTGATTTATTAGAGTTGAGTATGAAGTATACAGGTAGGCTAAATGCTGTATAGATGAGGTAACCTGAGGGGGATTGGGTACCGTTAGATTATGGCAGGGGAGAGCTTGTTCTAACAGCATCAGAAACTGGTTTATAGGATAACTTTTGTGCTGAAGAATAGGAAAATCATAAAAACTGAAATGACCAGAAACAGCTTTATTGCCATTGCACAGAGCACAACAAAATTACATTTCAGTACAGCCCATCTGAAGAACCACAAACAAACAAACAACAGACTTGGGTAGACAGGGTGACTGAGGCGGCAGCCTCTGAGAGGCACTCCTTTTTTGTTAGATTAGAAAAAGGGGAACACGAGGGAAGAGGAGGTTAAAAAAAAGCAAATATCACACTGTGTCCTCCTTGTGGGACACAGCGTGAGACTGCAAAAAAAAAACAAAAAAAAAAAAACCAGCACATAAAAAAGCAACATACAGACATAAGACATATATGTGTGTATAGTGATGGGGTTCCAGCACAGACCCCAAGTGAGCGATACAGCCATTTGCACATTCGATTCTCCTAGGTTGCTGCAACGGGGGTGGTATGAGGAAATGAGGGAGGTCAGCGAAGGCGTGAATTTGAGGGGAAGTAGTCTGTGAGCACTGTTCAGAGTCCTGATAAGAGGTGGTGCAATGTTTATCAGCCAGCTCGGTTGAGCTCTGGCACAGGTCCATGTCCTTGGGGAGTGAAGTGGGGAGGGGATGGGGGGGGTGGTGGTGGTGTCAGGGTGTCTTGTTTCCATAACATCCAGGAGAAATTGAGCTAGTCAACCTTCCAAAGCCAGCACGTAGGGAGCCAGACTCAGATATCAACATTTGTTTTGGGTCAGGCCGATCTCTGTTAATTTCCGTCTGCCTTTACAGTCTCACTAGTACATCTCATGGCGACTCCAAACAGCCAAATTGCGATTACATATGCTGAGTCGAGCTTCCAACTTCTCCAAGATCTATTCCTTCCCACCAGCGAGATTCGCTTGCACAGCATCTGAGTCTGAGTGTTAACTGCACGACACATTCCTTCACACATGCCAGGGAGATTAACAATGGCCAGAACAGCTGCTAACATTTTATGAATTTGTCGATAAGCCAGGTAACTACCAACTCCAAAAAGCAGAAATCCTGTTATCATAAATCCAATTATGTACACATCTTCAGCGTCCTCAATTGATAATATAGAGAGACACACAATCTTCCACTTATCCCACTGTGTATCCAGCTGCTACTGTTCTGTCAGGGCAAGAGGGCTCTCCTTCGCCATGTCTTCTTGTTAAGAAAATTTGATCAATTGCATTGAGAGTCCAGCTGAAAAGATCTATAGTTTATAATTTGGAAGATATGCTGAAAGAGGCTCTGAAAAAGGTTCACAGGACAAAGAGCAGAGCAGGGATGGAGCAGGAGGGAGAAGTGTCTGCCTTCACCGAGGGCAAGCAAGAAACAAAATGGTAATGGAAGTTGAGGAAGGAAGAACGTAGTAAAGAGAGCAGAAGGCTGAAAGGCTTTGGATAGGAAGGAACACCTTCCAGTTAAATGAGTTACTACAGCAACAATGACTCAATAGATAGGTAAGAAGGTACTTGGTGCCTTCCCTATTGCCTATTCCCTAACTGCCCTATTGAAGGTTTTTAATGACATCTTCAGATCCACAGATACCGGTGATTCTGTGCTGCTTGTCCTATTGGACCTCACAGCCGCCTTTGACACCATCGACCATGAGATTCTCATTGCTAGGTTGGAGCAGTGGGTGGGCATCACAGGGTCAGCCCTCAATTGGTTCAGATCCTACCTCGCTGACAGATCATTTTGTGTCTGCATCAAGGATTTTAGTTCTGCAGCGACAGAGCTTTAATGGGGGGTTCCGCAGGGGTCCATCCTGGGTCACCTCCTATTCTCTCTATACCTGCTGCCGCTTGGTGCTATTTTCCGGAAACACAACATACCCTTTCACTTCTATGCCGACGACTGACAAATTTACTTCCCCCTAAGACACCATGGTACATGCTCTATTCAACCGCTGCTCAACTGCCTGGCTGACATCAGGGTCTGGATGGCTTTAAACTTCTTAAGTTTCAATGAAAAGAAGTCTGAAATCATGTTATTCCTTCCCAATGACACAATCACAAACCACTGCATCAACCTTTCCACTCTAACCCAGTCAGAAAAACAAAGAGTCACTAATCTGGGAGTGATAATGGACCCTTCCCTGAAACTTAACAATCATGTAAACATGATTGTTAAATCATGTTTCTTCCAACTGAGGCGGCTGTCTAAACTGAAGCCCATATTGTCCAAAAATAACCTGGAGACAGTAATACATGCATTCATTACATCTAGGCTTGATTACTGCAATTCACTCCTGTTTGGTATCAGTCAGACCTCCATTGCACGACTACAATTGGTCCAGAATGCAGCAGCCCGATTTTTAACCAGTACAGGCAAAAGAGAGCACATTACACCAGTTTTGGCCTCACTGCACTGGCTACCAGTTCACCTTCAAATCCAGTTCAAAATACTCCTGTATATCTACAAACCGCTGAACAGTTTTGCCCCCCCCCCCCTCCCCCCATCTCTCTGATCTGCTACAACCGTATGTCCCACCGCGTTCCCTGAGGTCAGTGGACCAATTGCTCCTCACATTTCTAGGAACTCATCGTAAGCGCAGAGGTGACAGGTCCTTCTCTGTAGCAGGACCAAGACTTTGGAACAAGTTACCTCTGCTTGTCAGACAGGCCCCCTCCCTCTCGGTTTTCAAATCCCGTTTTAAAACTCACTACTATTCAGTAGCTTTCAACACCAGATGGTGTGTGTTTTGAACCTGTATGCTCCACACTGGTTTGTCGTCATATTTATTATCTGCATCGTTTTTATGTCTACATTTTTGATTTACTTCATTTTGTATATTGCTTTTTGTGTTGTCTATTGTTTTGTCTGTACAGCACTTTGGTTGGCTTTGTAGCTGTTTTAAGTGCTCTATAAATAAAATGGTAAGGGTATGGTCTGGTATGGTGTGTCATCTAGATACATAAATGGTTGTACAGAGGGAGAGGTAAGCTAGACAAAAATGGGATACTGAGAGGATAAATGACAGTATTATGTACTCTCATTTGTCCATAGAAAAATAGAAAAACAGAAGGTTGTACAGGCGGCTGAACGCTAAGGAGGGAGAGAAGAACTTGTATCGACTGATGAGACAGTGGTACCAAGCTAAAAAGCATGTACAGAAGGTTAGCCTTCATTGTTTCCCCTAGATAACTTGCCATGACCGGGCGATTTTTCCGTCCATGATTTTTGTCGGTGGGGGGGCGGGGGGAGGTACATTTCTGAACTGCATGCCGTTTGTACCGACAGTTTTTGAGTGGGGGTGGTGGGGTTGGAGACAGAGACACATCTGAAATGTGCACTGTTTTGTACCAAGCGTGAGGCAACGTGCAGCCACACTGCCTTTAGCATTTTAGCTAGTGTGCTTGTATTGTTCACTGCTAGCTTAGAGATATGGCAGTGCAGACGGGTGGGGGCGGGGTGCGCACCGTTCGATTCTGTAGGCGGGGCCCTCGATTCTGTTGACAAGGCATGGCACCTCACTTGTAAAATGGTAGGGGAAGCACTGGGCTTGCATAAGATAGAAATTATATTTGAAAAAGTTATGAGAGTGTGATTTGGAGATGGAAAAAGTACGTTGATGAGCTAATGTATGAATATAAAATGAAAGGGAAAGAAGACTAGAGACTAGAGAGAAACTGATCAGAAATTGGGAAAGATTAGTGAAGATGAAGTTTATAATGTTTTGAAAGGGAAGAATGGAGTTTGATCCGATGACATTAATGGAGATATGGCACAGTTTAGGGAAGATGGAAGTGAGGTTTTCGACTTGAATATTTGATATCATGTTTGAGAATGAGAAAACGCCTGAGGAATGAAGTGTGTTGGTGCCTGTTTTATATGCAAGGATAATGTAGCTTTATAGAAACTGATGAGTCACACAATGAAAATATAGCAGAGAGTTGAGAAAGCTAGATTTAGTGAAGAATTGAAAACAGCAGTATGTCTTGATGTATAGTTTCATGCCAAGAAAGAACACCACAGACGCTATATTGTCTGTAAGGTTGTAAGTGGAGAAGTATAGAGAGGACATTTTATATATTTGTGGATTTAGAAACAACAATGATAAGGTGCTAAGGGAGAAGCAGTGGTGTTGTACTGTATGTATAAATGTTGTGTTGCAAAAAAAATGTATATTATATTGTAACAGAACATTTATGAGGACAGTGGTGAGGTGCACTGTAGGAGTGACAAGTAGCTTTAAATGGGACTGCATCAAGGATCTGCTCTGAGTTCCTTCTTGTTTCCTCGGATGTTGGTCAGGCTAACAGGTGTGGTCAGGCAGACATCCCAGTGGACTGAGAATTTCTGCAGATGACATTGTGATCTGTGGTGAAAATAAGGAACGGGTGGAAGAGAACTTGGAAAGGTTGATGTGTGAATGTTGAGGTGTGTATTTTAACTTTATATCAAATGTTAATGTGTTCAAACCAACATCATTAGCATGCAGACATGTCCAACTTCTGCGCAAGATCAAACCTACTAGCAGAGAGGGCCCAGCCACGAGAGCTTCCACAAGCTCTTTGGATCCTCTCTGGGGTAAACTTGCTGTTTTCTGCCATTTCAATTATTGTAATCAAACTATATTACACCAATAAACGTTCATTTATTTTCCTAGGATTAATGCTAACGCATGTCTCCATTTAGCTTTTTAAAAAAAACCTCACAGTGTTCAGTGTTAGTTTCAAGCATTTAGAATTTATTATAAAAATCTGCTAATTTCAATTTCAAACTAGATTATAAATAAAAAAAAAAAGGTTTTGTTATCTCTTAGTGGTAAGCTTGTCTACATTTGAAACTATACTGTGAGATAACAGTACAGTGATTAATGATACTTAATAAATGATCAAATATGAAAAAGATTGTATTAAATAACTAAACGAGCTGAATTCATTAAAATGTCTATTTGTGTGAAATAAAGTCATTTCAAGGCATAAATCTATCAGTCTGGCAAATATAAATGGCAATTTTGAAGTTGTTTTGTACTGTGCAAAGGACTGTGACAGTTTGTTTTTTCTAATATCAGCCTTTTGAATACAGCAATGTCACAAAAAGACAAAAATATTTTAAATCTTAAACATCCTTTTAGTGTCAACTTTAAAATGTTTTATTACTGTAATCAAAGTTTGACTATTTTGAAAATACTGTAATTGAAAATTAAAATTGATGGGCTTTGTCGCCACTACAAGTATTTGGACATTAAAAACCTCATGACTGATAACAATACAGGCAAACTAGACAATCAGATTTGACAGAATCAATGCAAAAAATATAATTTATTTTTCATTTTTTTGTCATTTCCTGAATTACATTCATTCAAAAAAGTTGCAAACCACTAAAAGCTAAAAACATTGTTTTGTTTTCTACAACAAAAATTTTTTTTAAACAAGTTTGAGACATCACAAATTAAGCACTGCAGAGAGAAAAGCTGCACACTTTGTAAATAAATCATCCAAGTTATAAATCTATAAAAACTGTAATCAAAAGCAAAACATATTCTTTGTCCAGTCCTCCCACCCCTTACCAGGCCAGTAACCCCAGGTAAAAACACTGCAATGTGAATTTCTTTACTCAGGTTTTTGTTTATTATGCTCTAAGCATGAAGTGTACTTAAATAGGAATAAAGTTTAAGTTTTTGGTCTGTCTGAGTTACATCTACTTACAAGGCAGGACCCAAGACTCATCTCTTGCTGAATGTCCTTTTTCTTGGTGACTTTTTTTGTTTATTCTCATCATGGATATGAAAAGTAAATTAAAATCGTCATTGTTAATGTATTTCATTGATGCTTTCTGTTTTTAGTACCATTGATTATAAATACCCAACTCTTTTCACATAAATCCTTTCTTATATTTTTTTTAACCTGACATTCCTCCTCTCAGGAAGAAGTAGCCAAGCAGAGCTGTGGTTACTCCTGCTCTCCTCTCAATGTGGTGGACCTCATTGTGGACATCATGTTCATTATTGACATCCTCATCAATTTCAGGTTTGAACAGTTATTTTTGTTATTGTTAATCTGATTTGGCCGTTGTTTATGTCAAAAATTAAAATGGAGCTTCAAATCCCAAAACCTCACATGAACAGCACTGAATACCATCTTGCATAATTATTGACAGTACATTTTGTAATGTTACTCTTTCTCAGAACCACATATGTGAACTCTAATGATGAAGTAGTGAGTCACCCAGTGCGCATTGCCGTGCACTATTTCAAAGGCTGGTTCCTCATCGACATGGTGGCTGCTATTCCCTTTGACCTGCTGATCTATCGCAATGGAGAAGAGGTACAGATATGTAGCATGATGGACAAACTGTGGGCTGTCTTTGTAACACAAAACAATGAAGCTATGGTAAATATGGGTCAGATGTTTGTTAGATCAAGTAGAAATAATAAAGGTGTAATCACATTTTTTAAAGGAAGTACTTGCACAATTGTTCCAAGTGTTTGCAGTCTAGAGCTGGTTTTAGCCTTGAACCATGAACTAAAAATGAGAGCTGTCAGCTGAAACTAGGAAAGTTATTCAAAAACCAGCAACTGATGCAGCAGTCTATGTTATAAAGGAAAGATGTTCAGTCAGTTACACCGAAAATTTGAAGCAAGTATTGATAAAACATTGTATAATGAAGACATAAACTGTAGGTGAACAAAGAATGATGTAAAATTATTAAAAGAGAAATTTTAAACCAATATGCCTTAAAAAAAAAAGACTACCAAAAATGTGCAGAAACAAGACTTTTTCTGAATGATTGAAAGAAACTGGATTTCCAATTGAAATTTAAATAGTTGTAAAGAGCAAAAGAATAAAAGGGTTCAGTAGCCAAAATAAATTTACAAACTGTTGTATGAAAGTGCCTTTAAAAGACAAGTTACCAACCAACAGTTGGACAAGAAAATAAAACTGGAACTTTTTAATGTATGTCTGATGGTATCAAGATTACCCCATTGTGTAGCTGACAACATTTGCTTTTCCTTAAAAAAACATATATGCTCCAAGCTTTATCACTTCACAGTGACTGCTTTAGGTGCATGTCCAAAAACAAAGTGTCCATTTGACAGGAATGGAGCCACATCTTTTTGCCAGGGGTGGCACAGGGATGGCCAAGACTTCTTTCAGGGGGCATACAGTGCCGGCCCTAGTCAATTTGGCATCTTAGGCAAGATTTTAGTGGTGCCACTGGCACAATTTATTAAATATCAATGCCAATTTACATACACTCACACAAGAAACTAAACAGCTTTGTGATATTATCTTTGATTTTAAAAGGCAGATAGTCCAATTAAAACCAATAACAATATAATGAATTTGAAGCAGAATATCAAAAGCATACACAATACCAGGATTTGCCTAATGGCAATGAGGATCACGTATTTAACTGAGCATCTGCAGAGCAAAGCATTCCCGGGGGTTTTCAGGGTAGGACCAGATGAAAACAGCGTGGCTACGCTCAGTTTTCACTTTGAGACAGAACATCCAATTAAAGGGGAAAATGCTGGTTAAAAACGCAGGTTGTAATCCTTTGCAGTTGTGCTACTCTCATTGTACAACAGACATACTGGCTTACCTTCAAAGGTTTCAATAAATCATATTTGTCTATCAAGGTAGCGATGTTGCAATAGTTGTGAACTTGTAACTTTGATTTGTGCACCTGTTTGATAAAAGTGTGTACTTGTATTTAAACATTTCACTTCCAAAATGTTTTGCACAAATATTTTTTGAACGTATGGTAAAATTATATTTACATGAATATAATAAAGTATAGTATAAAGACAATCTTTACATTCAGAAAGCCTTAGTTGCAATGCAGCGAGAAATTTTGATGTTTAACGTTTATTATCCATGGGGTTTACAACAGCAGAAAAAAATGAATCATTTTATAACTTACACTTTTAAATTTTGTTGGTTTAAAGTTGATTATTTGGAATATAACCATTTAGACTGAGAGCTGTGGTTCTTACCCAGAGGACATCATTGAGTTTGTAGTAAGTTGCATTTCTTGCTGTTTGTTCCAAGCCCCAAAATCTCAAGTAAGCCCAGACCAAATGTTGAACTTGTGCTAAATCAGAAGGCATTAAAACAGTGTGTGACAACATAATCCTTTCATTTGCCTTTACAAATTGCATACTTTGCTAGAAATACATATTATAGTCTGGTATGTGTCTAATATTTTTTTTGAAGTTGTATTATGAAGTGACATGTTGCCTTGTTTATACCTGGTACTGGGTAGGTACCTGGTACATTGAGTACCTTGTACATTTTTGATAAATAATAGATATGCACCAAATATGTACCCTGTAAGTTCTAGCTAACTTTTTGGCACCGGGACTTTAAGAGCTACACCTTCAGTTCAGATGTAACATCGCTTAAACCTGGTAACTGAAGACACTAGAGTCATGGACCGATTACATCACATTAATTTCAGTTTCACAAATCAGAAACTTGCTAAGTATGAGGTGATTTCACCTTTTTTACGAAAAATATCTGACTTATGGTGTCATTTTTTTATGTAGTCACTAACAACAATCTGAACCTAAATGCGAACACAACTCTAAGCAGAACAACCAACAGAGTCAATCCATCTGAACGCCATACATGCATACATACATACGTACATACATACATACATACATACTTACATACGTACGTACGTACGTACGTACGTACGTACGTACGTATGTACATTATCTTCTGCTTGTTCTGAAGTCAGGTCTTGGGGGCAGCAGCTTGAGCAGGGAGGCCCAGACATCTTTCGGCAGCCACCTCTTCCTGCTTTTCTGGGAGGATTCCAAGGAATTCCCAGAAAAGAGACTATGTCTCTCCAGCGTGTCCTGGGTCTTCTGTGGGATCTCCTCCCAGTCGGACATGCCCGAAGCGCCTCCCTAGGCAGGTGCCAAAGGACAATCCTTGCCAGTTGCCCGAACCACCTCAACTGGCCCCTCTCAGTGTGGAGGAGCAGCGGTTCTACTCCGAGTCTCTCCCAGATAACCAAACTTCTCACCTTATCTCTAAGGGAGAGTCCAGCTACCCTACAGAGGAAACGCATTTCAACCACCTGTGTCCATGATCTTAATTCTTTCGGTCACTACCAGTGTTGTTTTCGTTAACGATGACGATGACGAAAACGTTTCGTCGACGCCCCCTTTTTTCATGACAATAATGAGACGGTAACGAAATAAACATTGCTCTTTAATGACTAAAACATGACGAAATGTGTGTGAGTTTTCGTTGACGAGATGAGACTGTACGAAAATGTTTGTCGGTGGTCCGTCAATAATTTAGAATGCACAATATTTCTGCCCATTGGTCACACCCACTGCTACCCAACCACGCTGATGCACCGCGCGCTCACCTTTGACTTCATTTCAAACTGGACCATGGCAGATGCTGCACGTTTTACGAAGGGGCTCGGTGGACGCAAACCCAGAAAGGATTTATGGACTTATTTTGTATTTAACCCAACTGAAAGAAGAACCGAATGTATCGTCGAGGGAGACGGAGGTAAATGTGGATTTAAACTTGGTGGAAAAAACACGACAAATCTTAAGCGGCACCTGAAGGCTCACCACCACCCTGATGTTTTTTCCAAGGTAAGTTAGTTACAACTACTATTTTTGTAATGTACATACATGCAATGTTACTTGACAAACCAAACGGGTTGTGACACATTTCACAACTCCAGTTTCGTGTAAACTTAATGTTTTTTTAATTTTATTTTTATAAATCCTGTCCTTGCTTGCGCACGTGGATGCTAACTTTGTGCTATTAGCTTGTTTGTTGTGCTAATCTAACGTCGGCTACTGTTACGTGTAAAACATGCAGGGATGTATGGCTGATAGGTTGTGTTTGAGTGACTGAATATCAAACCTGTTGCTGTTACCCCATGTGTCTGTCGGGTCTGCATCCTTTAAACCAAAAACCCATTTTAGCTAAACACTACTTGCATTACATTTTAAAATGAGACAACCAACATTTGTCTGATAAATGTTTACAGTAAAAAGTGTTAGGGGGCCAAAAAATACTTCATTTTAAATAAATAAATTGAATCAAAACATTTGCAAAAGAGAAAAGATACATTTTCTTAGATTGAGTGTTTATTGGTAGAAGAAAAATGGACAAAGTAATGTAAAAAATACCCCCCCAAAAAAGCTGTTTTCAATCTAATGAAAAGAAAAATAGTATTAAAAATACTGGTTATGTTAGTGTCATTCTGGATTGAAAATCTAATGCCAATTAGCAAAAAATAGGTAAAGCTGACATTTAGCTGTATTCAAATTTCAAAAGCATCTGCCTGTGTTAAATGTTTGGTACTTCAGACTAAAAGCTACAAGGGCACCTCAGTGTTGTTTTTCTGCTCTGAACCCTGAGCAGAAAAACATTAACACTGCACTAAAGTATTTTTTCATTTATCACAAGTCATATCATCATCGCAATATGATGCACTGTTCTTGCACATCACAGGATTTCCTAATATCAGACAGCCCTAGTGCACTTTTAATAATCTAACTCAACTGTACAGATACATTAGAAATTTGGCCATTGCACAATATAGAAAGATCAGATGACTTACGTAAGGAGGACAGGGTGGATGCTATTCATCTGGTTATTAACGTATCAGAAAGATTTTTTTGTTTGCTTGTTTGACAGCTAAAGTCATTCTGTTTTCTTAACATGGTATTTAGTAAGATATGTTGACACAAATCATTATGTACAATATATGTACATATAGACATATAAATAATTTTTTAAAGATATACATACATTTGATTATTTTATATTCACTTATAGATTCTTTACAAGAGGTGTACATTGTATATACAGAAAGAATAATTATCTTCTCGCCTTGCTTTTTTCTCATCCAGATCCCAGAGATCCCAACTCCTAAAGAGAAACCTGGTGGTCCAAAGAACGACAGGTCACAGTCATCTATACCAGCAGCCTTTGCCGCAGGATCTAAATATAAAACAGATTCTCAGGAACAACATGCCAAAGAACAGGCGATTGCTCTTTGGATTGGACGAACAGGTCTACCTGCTTGCACAGTTGAGGACATTTTGAGAAATAAAGCCACAAAGTGAGAATGTTTTTGTTTTGGGCATTTTTGGAGTACCAGTATTTGATTCCACTATTAAAACAAATTACTCAAATTAATTTGTAAAGACTAATATGTTTTCTATTTATTTTAAAGACTAAAACTAGACTTAAAATTTTAAAGTTTTTGTCGACTAAAGCTGGACTAAAACCATTAAATATAGAAATGACTAAAACTGACTAAAACTAAGAAGTATTTTTGTCTAAAAGACTAAGACTAAAACTAAAATCAAAATGGCAGTCAAAAACAACACTGGTCACTACCCAGAGTTCGAGGTCATAGGTGAGGGTAGGAATGTAGACCGACCAGTAAACAGAAAGCTTCGCCTTACAACTCAGTTCCCTCTTCACCACAATGGACCAGCACAGAATCTGCAATACTGCAGATGCTGCACCAATCTCATCTGTCAATCTCACTATCCATTCTTTCCTCACTCGTGAACAAAACCCTGAGATACTTGAACTCCTCCACTTGAGGCAGAACCTCACCCTCGAACCAAAGAGAACAATCCACCCTTTTCTGACTGAGGACCATGGCCTCAGATTTGGAGGTGCCGATTCTCATCCCAGTCACTTCACATTCGGCTGTGAACCACTGCAGTGAGAGCTGAAGATCACAGCATGATTATGCATGTGAACCCAACCTAAAAAAGTCCATGCATTTCTATCCCAAGACTACCATGTTGGCATTATGGTCCACCCACTCTGAAATTTAACAGTAACCCACAGAACTTACTGTATATTTAAAACTTCATCTTGTTATAAAATCCAAATGTTATGTTTAAGGTTATCTTTGTAAACCTACATATAGTATTTAACATTTAGAGCAACTACAATTTCAGTCTGGGTTTTCAAATTTACAGGTTGCAATTGAATTCATCGAAAATTTTCACATGGTCAAATATATATATATATATATATTGATATATAGAGGAAAATATTTATTTTACATCAGCATGTCTTGCTGTTTCCCCAAAAATACATTAACACTAACAAGATGATCAGTATCTGGTCTTTTGACCTTATTAGGAGCCAGACTCTGGTTGTGGTGCTTCTCCATCAGCTAATTATCCACTCTAGTGTCGTAAAAGTTTTTAACCATACTGTAGCTTTCAGAGATGTTCCCCTGAGCTGACTCCATCAGATTCATCATTTTTCCATAGTAAAATAAATTAGGCAACTCCAATAAAACAACAGAATTATTTTCAGTCGTCTATAAACAAATAAGAAAGACTAGTAGAAAAAAATCCCTGAGTAGTATTGATAAAGGTCAATTTCAATATGTCTTTCATCAAATTTTGTTTATGGTCAGTTCCACTGCTGGAGTTGGTGTTCCTGTCTGGAGTCTAATCTTTTTCTCTGCAAAATAACACTTTGAAATGCAATGTTGACAATCCAGCCACATCATTCATATCCGACTCTGCAAGGACTACTTTAAACACATGCTGTCACAGGGTAGCCTGCAGGAGATTACTGAAGGCTTAAGACTGCACATTTTGGTCCCACCCACTCTACATCAGCCTTGTGATTGATTAATTTTCCTATCAGTTCATTCATTCAACCTTTATTTAAACAGATAAATCACATTGAGCCTCGAAGACTCATTTACAAGTGAGACCTGTTTGGACAGACAAAAACAGTGGTTAACTGGACACATGTAGAAGTTGGAGGCGAAAAAGAATTCCTATCAGACTTTTTTTATTTCTTGCCTGAGGGAAAAAAACAAACTCTAATATTAAAAAAACACCTCACACAAACAGCACATAGTGACGTAGACAATCTGCAGACGGAGGAGACGAGAGCGGTCAGCAATGTTTATGGATGCTCTCGAGGTCACTGTAAGAGTTCTGATAGGATGTAATAATCAGTCAATGTCCTCCGGTGAGATCCATAAACATAACATCTATGAGAATCCAAGAGTCCTGAAATGATGACACAATGTTTATTCAGCTGGTTCATCTAGTTATCAGTTGGAAATTCCTCAGGGAGGGGGTGGTGAGCGTCAGATCACATGTTCTCCAGGCAAATTCAGATAAGATGGCCTTCAAAACCAGCCAAGGGAGCCAAATTCAGATAAACACAATTGTTTTGGAGACAGGCAGAACTTAATGACATCTACCTTGAGTCTGTGTTGGTCGACTCGGTTCCAAAATGTCCAAAATACATGGCCACACCGATAGAAAGTGACTGAGTAAAATTCCCAAGATCTGATCTAAACACCCCAAAGCATTTGAGTCCGGGTACTTGAGACACGAACCAAGCCATCATAAAGGCAAGCAGCGTGATCGGGTCCAAATTTGCTGCCGACGACTTCCTTGATTGTAGATAAAACCAGCAACCAGCCAGATCCAAAAAAGCAGGAACCACTTATCATAAATCAAATTAAATATGTGTCCTTAAAATCCATAGATAGCAGCAGAGCTAGACACATCATCAAGTCTTCCAGTTGATGAGATATCCAGCTGCGTGCGTGCCAACAGGGCAAATCGGCTTGCCTAAAGCCCGTTTTCTCTTCGAAGAAATGTTGTAAATTGAGTTGAGGGACTAACTTATAAAAACAAGTCCATAATTATGGTTTGAAAAATATGCAAGAGAGGCTCACAAGCAGTTTCACAGACAGACAGAGCAGCAAAGCAAAGCGGAGAGGGAGGGGAGAAGCATCCAATCTCGGCGAGAGCAAGTGGTGAAGTGATACAGTTACTGATCAAATCAAAATTTAAATGTAACATTTTATATAAGCTGAATACTTTGGCCCCTTCTGAATGTACTTTCTTTTACATTTTATTGTTGGATGTAACAGGGACTCTGTGTACATAATTTCGCTGTACATGTGGTGCGAACGACAATAAAGAATATCTGTATCTGTACTCAAGGCCCTAAGGGTCCCCACTGGATAACACAAATGCACATGGTGGATATATTCAAAGGTGCTTTGCAAGCACAGTAATGAAGTTGTAAAGGCACCACAATGCAATGATTACAACTAAAAGAGTAAGAAACTAGTCACCCCATACTGATGATGGTGGTCAACATTTATTAGTTATAGTAAATAATAAATAATATAATTAGTAACTGGAAAAGTTTAAGTATCTTGGGGTCTTGTTCACGAATGAGGGAAAAATGGAGCGAGAGATCGATAGGCGGATAGGTGCGGCGTCTGCAGTGAAGCTGGAGCTGTACAGGTCTGTCGTGGTGAAGAGAGAATTGAGTCAAAATGCAAAGCTCTCAATTTACCAGTTGATCTACGTTCCTACTCTCATCAATGGTCATGAGCTTTGGGTTGTGACTAAAAGAACGAGATCTCGGATACAAGCGGTCGAAATTAATTTTCTCTGCAGAGTGTCTGGACTCTTCCTTAGAGATAGGGTGAGAAGCTCGATCATCTAGGAGGAACTCAGAGTAGAGCCGCTGCTTCACCACGTCAAGAGAAGCCAGTTGAGGTGGCTCAGGCATATGGTTAGGATGCCTTCTGGATGCCTCCCTGATGGGGTGTTTCAGACACGTCCCACTGGGAGGAGACTGAAAGAAAGACCCAGGACACGCTGGAGAGACTATGTTTCGCAGCTGGCCTGGAAACGCCTTGGGATTCCCGTAGAGGAGCTGGCCCAAGTGGCTGGGGAGAGGGAAGTCTGGGCCTCCCTACTTAAGTTGCTATCCTCGCAACCCGACCTCGGATAAGCGGAAGAAAATGGATGGATGGATAATTAGTTACTACCTTATTAGCAGTGAAGCACCTTGGTACAAAGTCACTGTTACACTGTCTTTATATAAGAAATAATTGTGACAGCAAGTGGGTTTACTGTGAGGAAATATGAGACATGGTTTTGGGGTGGGACATTTGTTGTGACACCTGACCTGTTTTCTTTTTCTCCAATTTCAGACCACCACTCTAATAGGACTGCTAAAAACTGCTCGTCTCTTGCGATTGGTCCGCGTAGCCCGAAAGTTGGACCGCTACTCAGAGTATGGAGCAGCTGTCCTTTTCCTTCTCATGTGCACCTTTGCACTCATCGCTCACTGGCTGGCCTGCATCTGGTACAAGCTCATTAAGTCTGATGGTTCAAAACTATTGATATTAATATTAGAATAATCTTCTTTGTGTTGGTTACCCAGTTCTACTTGAGTATTGTAGTATTAATTCCAAAATAACCAGAAATCTTATGTCATTCAAAACAAAATAGTCTCATGTGAGTTTGCTTCTTATTTTCATAAAGAACCTCATATGAGATAATGCAGGTCAGATTATGTAAAAAGTCATATTTCGTTAAACTGCATTTTAAATTTTAAAGCAGTGAAAATGTCATTCTTATTTTTTCATTTTTCTTGTTTTTTTTGTAATGTAGGTACGCAATTGGTAATGTTGAGAGAAATGGTTCAATAGGTTGGCTCCACAACTTGGGGGAACAGCTAGGAAAACAATTCAATGATTCCATTCCAGGTATGTGGCACTAAACATGCGTGTGTGTGGGGGGTGTGGGGGTTGTGGGGGATTGCGTGTGTGTGCATGTTCCTACAATAAAAAAATTGTACAACAAAATAAGAGAATGTTAAAAGGAAAATATTATCTATTTTCATACGTCCCGTGATAGTCTCAAGCAAGCCTTAGTGAAACTTCTAACACCCTTTGTTTACCATTGCGGAGCAAAATGGAGGAATTGTAAATACCCTCTGTCTGTCCGTCCATGCATGTTGACAGTATTGTCTGTCCAAACAGGTTTCACTTGTAAATTAGTCTTTGAGGCTCAATGTGACTTATCTGTTTAAATAAAGATTGAATGAATGTTGAGAGTATAACTTGAAAAACAAGTGAGGTACTAACTTCTGTTTTGGTGTGTGGCTACATCTAGGTGTAAGAAAGGTTCCTTTAGAAAACTGGGTTGCTTGGTCAAAATTCAAGGTAGCCCACAACATGGATAGACATTAATGGGGGCAGCCATCTTGAGTTTTGACATGGCAACCCAAAAAGTCACAATTTTCAAATGCCATATATCCACATTTATTTTTATTTTTAATGTTTTTAATTGTGCAACATATTAAACAAATGATTAAACTAAAAAATGTACTTTTTTAAATGATTATTTTTTGTTTGTTTTATGGTGGCATCATAGTTCAAACAAGCTGTATGCCACTGTTCCACATCTCTATTCAAATAATTAATTAATAGTTTTATAGATACTGTAAGTATTTTTCTTGGCTGGAATTGAACAGGAAATGCATACATATATGGCTGCAGCCATTTTTGATTTTGACCTGGCAACCTACTTTTTGAAAATAACTTTTCTTATGTCTAGATGTAGCCGCACACCACAGCAGAAGTCGCCAAGTTTACTTATTTTTCCAGTTATCCAGCCCACATTATTAACATACAGGTGTATCTAAATACAGTATATTAAAATATCAGGAAAAACTTCAGTTTGCTTTGTCAATCATTTCAGAAAGTGAAACTCATATTGTATAGATTCATTTCACATAGAGTGAAATATTTAAAGTCTTTATTTATTGTTATTTTAATGATTATGGCTTACAAATAATGAAAAAACAAATATTTTCTCAGAAAATGAGAACATTGTGAATAAGTTCAATATTGAAAACTCATGGTGTCACACACTAATCACATAATTAACTCCTAGACATGTCACATTTTACAAGTCCATCCACTCCTGAACCAGAGACAACGTCAGATGTGTCTTACCCACTGAGGAGACAAAGAACCGTACTGTCGCTCAGTGGTCCAATGTCCTTTTTTCAGATGGAATAAAATTAGCATGTCATTTGGAAATCAAGGTCCCAGAGTTTGGAAGAAGAGTGGAGAGGCCCAGAATCCATGTTGCTTGAAGTCCAGTGATGAACTGGTGTGCCATATCACCTCTGCTAGTGCTGGTCCACTTTTTTTCTGAAGTCCACAGTTGATGCAGCAATCTACCGGGGAATTTTAGCATACTTCATGCTTCCTACTGCTGATGAGCTTTATGGAGTTTCTGATTTCATCTCCAAGTTGGACCTGACATCTGCCCAGAAGTGTTATAAGAATATGTTGTGGTGTTTTGTTTTGGCTCTTTAGTCATTGCTCTTTTCTGATGTTCTGACAGCTAGCTGATTTCTAGCCATGTCAACATGATCTTAGCTTCCTTCTTCATTCTCCTTATTCATGGTAGGCTTGATCTTACAGCTAAGCAAGTCAAATATCATTGTGGTGTATATCAGCTCTCTTGTAGGAAGATGCATTCCCATCTTCTAACATACTTTCAGAAGGTACTTTGTCACTTAACATTGGCCATCTGTAAGTCTTAATTCTCAAGTCAGCTGTCCTTGTATTTAGTTCATCAGGACTTTTCAATGGAGCTTGGTACTTATATTCTGATGATGGTATATATCCTTTTCGACCTGTTGTCCTGGCTCCCCCTTGCCGTAGCATCTTTGTTGTACCTCCTCAGTCTCTCAGTGTGATTGACCGAGTCACTCAAATCACTCAAATGTTGGAACACTGGGTCCAAAGTTGTTTCTGACTCAATTTGGATGAGGGGTATTGAAGTTTCCTCCAGAGTGCCCACATCCTTACCATACCATACCATACCATTTTATTTATAGAGCACTTAAAACAGCGACAAGGCCAACCAAAGTGCTGTTTAGACAGAAAAACAGGCGACACACAAAGCAATATACAAAATGAGGTAAATCAGAATAAAGACATAAAAAACGATGCAGATAATAAATATGACGACTAACCAGTGTGGAGCGTACAGGATCAAAACACAGATCATCTGGTGTTGAAAGCTACTGTATAGTAGTAGTGGGTTTTTAAAAGGGACTTGAAAACCGAGAGGGAGGGGGCCAGTCTGACAAGCAGAGGCAACTCGTTCCAAAGTCTTGGTCCTGCTACAGAGAAGGCCCTGTCACCTCTGCGCTTAAGACGAGTTCCTGGAACTGTGAGGAGCAACTGGTCCGCTGACCTCAGGGAACGTGGTGGGACATACGGCTGTAGCAGATCAGAGATATTGGGGGGGGGGGACTGTTCAGTGATTTGTAGACATACAGGAGTATTTTGAATACTTCAATCCTTCCCATATAGCCCATCTCCCTAGGCTTGTCGCATAGTATCATTCCAACAGTGTTAAGTTCTCTGCCCTTGTTGTTCCAGTTACCCATTTCTCACCAGAATGTTCTTTTTCCCAACATCTGACATGACCTTGTTAATCTCGGCAATGTCCAAGGCATGCCTCATATTATGTCTCTCACTCATTGTGTTGCTCAGAAGTTGACACTGGGACTCGAACCCTGAACTTTACTGTGCCAACCCCCAAATATATGTACACATCCACACACGTATATTGTTAGTCCCTGAAATCTCATGAACATATTCTCAATCACAGAACTATTGATGAACTTGTCATGAAATGCTCTGTTTAAGTTGCTTGTGTTGGAGAGTGTTATTGTGTGTGTAACTGGTTTCTCTGTTTTCCATACCAGGCTCGGGACCTTCAATCAAAGACAAGTATGTTACAGCTCTCTACTTCACATTTAGCAGTTTGACAAGTGTGGGGTTTGGAAATGTTTCACCCAACACCAACTCTGAGAAGATCTTCTCCATCTGTGTAATGCTTATTGGGTGTAAGTATGAATAGATGGATCATGGATCTATCCTAACTTCAATTATTTCAACATCAAAAACAACATGATAATTTTCTGTGAAATTGCTGTATGAATGTCTCTGATTTTAGTTTTTTCCCACAAATTTCAACAAATTGTTAGAATTAAAACAAGTATAACAGAAACTTAAATATGAAAAAACAGTAGCTCACATATCCAACAATTTTCAGTCAGGTCATCTGTACAGTTTCTTTTTTTTTCTGTGCTGAAACATTTCACCTTCCATCCAGAAGGCTTCATCAGTCAAGGAAACACACTACACAAAACTGATTCTTCCCCCAACAGTTTACTCCAAAGTGGAACAAACCAGTTATGTTGGTGCTAAGATGGTTTCTTTGACACACCCCCTCCTCTGGTGCTGGCCCTCTCCCTCGTCGACAGTCAGGTCAAACTGGTTCAAAACCAACAAAGTCCATGCTCAATAATCCATATATACAGTTTCTTTTTTTTATGCTGAAATGGAAGGTGAAACATTTCAGCACACACAAAAATAAGAAACTGTCCAGATGACCTGACTGAAAATTGTTGGATTGTATACATGGATTATTGAGCATGGACTTTGTTGGTTTTGAAGTAGCTCAAATACAGAATAAGAAGAGTTTCTAAAGTCTAGAAGTAGTACAAAAGTAGCTAAAAGTTAACATTAGCTACATAAAAGCTATCATTGAAATTAACAAAATAATAGCTAAAAGTTAAAACCTAGCAATATATAAGATAAAAATGTATACTAGTGAAATATTTGCTAAATTTAGAAAAAACAAAGAATACTAAAATAAAAACTGAAAAAGATTGAAACAAACTCAAATTGTAATGACCCACTGATTTAGTAAAATTAAACATGCAGAATAAAGTTCAATGTGTGTAAAAGCAACAAAATTAAAACTATCAAAAATTATAGCACACTATCTCTTGAATGAGCTGACATATTGATAATATAACTATATAATAACTTGAATGTAGGCTGAAGGTGTTCAGCCAAAAACCGTATTTAAGAAACTATGAACAGTAAAACAATTGGGTGAATGCTTAATCAGCTTTCACACATTAAAACCCAACTTTCACTTGGACCTTATGTTGGGATCTGTGTTTTGCTGTTAGATGTGTTTAGTGGTGCTTATATTTTTTGTTGTGGTTGTCTATTATATTATTAATAATAATAATAATAATATTATTAATAATTATTTTGTTGTGTTTTTCCTTGTGTTTTTATGTGATTAGTTTTTGGTGTTCTGTTTTGTTTTTTTGGTTATCAGCCACTTCTCTCATCCGTCACCTCTGCAGCTACGATTGACATTTTTCATTGTCTGGCCGACAGCAGCCTGACCTGGCCGCAGTCGGACTGCCTTTATTCTACCCCAGCTATGGCTGTGTTTGCTTTGAGCAGAATGCCACCTTGATGCTGGAGGATGACTCATTTGTGATGTGACATGACCCCCCCACCACCCCCACCCCACCCCCGAATAGAATACCAGTCCATCATTGTATTAACACAAGGACAGGCAACTAGGCACAAATAAACATTCAGATCAATTCAGAGTCTAATAATATATGGAATATGGCTACAGACTCAGCGCCACAGACCCAAAATATATATTTTGGGAACTGTGTGTGTTCATTTGTCTGTACAGTTAGAGAGCCAAACATATCATATACCTAACCAAACTGATCTTAATTAAGCTTTCTAAAATCAATCATTGAGTTGAAAATAAATAAATAAATTGAAACAGATTATCTTTTGGGGTGATTATAAGTCAAGATGGTCAAAGTGAGCTTTGCAAACAAAAATAGCTACAATTCAGTCAAATTTTCAAATACTGAGCTAAATTTGTGGAAGTAGTTTACCATCATCCCCATTGCATACAAGTTCTAGACATTATGCAACATCTTAGTTTAAAACATCACTAAAATGTTGGAGTCAACCCTGTTTGTCTGTTAGTAAAATATTCGCTAAACGAATGAACAAATGTGAGACTCAGAAAAGTAATTTTTGGCTTTACATCTCCAACAAATCGGGGCTGCAGTATTTCGATGGTCAGTGCTGCAGTCTTGTAATCCTGAGGCTGCAGGTTCAAGCCCAGGTCGTGTTATGAAAGGCATCTGACAAGAAATAATTGCCAAATAGTTTATGCATGTTCACTCGCTGTGGCAACCCCTGCAAAAAGAAGCTGTCGAAAAAAAAAACATCTACAACAGGTTACATTTCAGTCAACCCCACTCAGACGGTGCCCACAGCCTAAACAAAAATATGTTTACTTTAGTGATTATTTTACTATAGAGAACTAAAAAAAGTTTTTCCCTTTCCACTTCTGCCATTGCGCTTGCTCAGGATGGAAGACTGCAACAAAGTAAAGAGTCAATGTGTCTGCTGCTTCCTTAGATAGAGAACTTTAGTAATTGGCTTTTCTATGTATGTGAATGTTCCTGTAAAGTGCCCTGGGACATCTTTGTTGTGATTTGGTGCTATATAAATAAACTGAATTTAATTTAATTTAAATATTATCTGTGTGTACACATACACACACACACACACACATAAAGATGGACACCTTATGTTCACAAAGGAAACTGTAGGCCCTAGAATGATGATAGACATTGTATTTGTGTCATCTGAACTGTGGCCGCTTTGGACACTGAGGTGAAGAGTGAAGGTGAGCCAACACCACCTGTTGAAGAGTTATATTGTATGACAGGGGAAGACGCTGGAGAGATCAAGTAAATGGTAAATGATCAATGGACTGTACTTATATAGCACCTTTCTATCTTACTGAGATACTCAAAGCGCTTTACAACAATCTGTGCCCTCATTTACCCATTCATCCAGCACTCTACTAGATCTCTACAAAGCTAATTGAACAAATCATTCTAAAGAGACTAGTGAGGGTTTTCTGGGAACACTTGACTGAAGAACCCATCAGAAGGAACGTCAACTCACACCTCCAAGAGAACTTTAATTGCATCTCAGTGAAGGTGGGGGACATTGAGTCTGAGTGGGCCATGTTCTGCACCTCCATTGTTGAAGTGTCTGCCATGAGCTGTGGTTGCGGCTGTAGCTGCAAGAATGTTGGTGCCTTTTGCGGTAAACATTCTTGAACGCAATGATAGAAACTCAGAATGAGGAAGGCCATCAAGCTGAAGGAGGAGTTCTGTTGGGCCTTATTAGTTGGTAGCACTTCAAAGGCACATGAGAGGCATTGTCTGGCCAAGTGAGCTGCAGCCCTGGTTTTTGCTGAGGCAAAGACTCAGATGAGAGGAGTTCAGTGAGACTTTGCATAGAAACTATCAAGAGGCTCTGATGAGATTCTGGCAAACCATCAGGTGGTTGAGGTGGAGAAAGCACCACTTAATCAACACTATAGTAGTAGAAGTCGTTGGAGTGTATAGTGTAGGAGGGGTGCTATTGACCTGCACTGATGTCATCGGGTGGCAGAAGGACTTTCTCAATCCCCCCCAACATGTTTTCCATACAGAAAACTGAGTGAGGGGACATGAGGGATGGTTCATCAGTAAGTGGGGCTTTGGTCACCCAGAGAAGATCTGAAATGAGATCCACCTGAAGTTCATCAAGGCTTTGGATGCTGCTGAGTTATCGTTTTTGATATGCCATTGCATCACATGGACATCAGGGGCAGTGCTACTGCATTGGCAGACTGAGGTGGTGATTACCCTCTTCAAATAAGAGTATAGGAATGTGTGCACCAATTACAGGGGCATCACTCTCTTTAGTCTCCCCAGTAAAGTCAATTCAGGGGTGTTGGAGAAGGGAGTTCGATTGATTGTCAAACCTCATTTAGGAGGAACAATGTGGGTTCCATTCTGGCTGTGGAACACTGGACCAGCTCTTGACCCTCAATATTCAAGGTTCTCAATGTGGCATGGGAGTTTTCCCAACCAGTCTACATGTGTTTTGTGGACTTGCAAAATTGATGTGTTCCTCGGGGTAAGGGATTGGAGGTTCATTGCTACAAGCCACTTGGTCATTCTACAAGCTGTGCCAGATTTTTGATTCGTATTGCCAGCAGCACATCAAACCCATTCAGAGTGGTAGTTGGACTCTGCCCAGGCTGTCCTTTGTATTCTGTTCATAAATATTATGGACAGAATCTATTGGTGCCTCCAGGGGGCGGAGGGAGTCTGGTTTTGAACGAGCAGAAGAACATGGATGTAGATTATATATACAGTATATATATATATACAGTATATATATATATATATAT